CCTCCCCTCCCGGCCGGGTCTCGCCGCCTCGCGCTCCGGAGGCGGCCGTACATCCCGCGCTGCCTTTTATCGCGCCTCTCCTTCCATACCGCGTGGAAAGCGATTGTTTCGAAACACTTTGTAGTTGCCCTGGAAGGGTGAAGAAGTAGTGATTCACCTGTCTATGTGCTTGATTTGAACACATGTTTCATCCTGTTCCTTCCCGTTGCAGTTATGAACGCTAAAAGCATTGAATGTTATTACGCTAACGTGGCTTCTCCACGCTTGTTAGTAGCCTCAGTTGCTTCTGATCGCTGTCTCTTATTTTACTTGTGTGCTCTATGTCGCTTATGCAGTCCATATCGCTGTAAGTTGCTTGAACTCTTCAGGCACCAGTAATCACGGGCTGAAAATCTGCTGAATGGGATGCTGGACCAAGCTGAAACTCCTCTGCCAAGGAAGAGCATATATCCTGAGCATAAGATGGGGGATTACAGGCAAATACTGGCATACTTGTTATCGTGAGGATGACTTGTTTTAGAGCATCGTCAGTCTAACGTTTGTCAAACTTATTTGTATCACAGTAAAGTAGACTTTATAAAGAGGTTTGAAGGAGGGGGAAAAAAAAGGTGTAGTCTGACAGATGCCAGAAAGAGGAGTACTTCTCCAAGTATATGTAACAGCATGAGAGCAAAATACCAAATTGCTTGTTATGATTTTGGTGCATCTTAGAGCTACTTGTAATAGATTTACTGTTTGTTGCTTTGTTTGTTTGAATTTTTTTCCTGCCATAGTTTAGATCTCCCTTTTTGCGAGCTCCTGTGTATAGATTTGTTTGTTATTTCCTGGCAATCAAACACACCTATGCATTTAGTTCTAAGCTCTTCAGTTGAACCTTAGACATCAAATGAAACTAGTCCTGATCACATCTAGCTAAAAAAGACACCCTTTCCTTCTCTCTATTTCCCTCGCCATTTTTTGTTATCTCTGGATTTCCTCTTTCTAATCAGCTACCTGCACAGCTCACAAACGGTCCTGCGTTCCCGTACTTCTCTTTGTACCCTCCTGACACAGATGTCGCCTAAGGAAGAGCACGCATCTCTTTCACCTCCTTGGCTGGTGGGTCTGACTTCTGTAAGGGGAAAAAAAAAGGCAGTCCTGATTGTAATGTTGATGCATCTGGCAGAGAAATTGCACCTTTCTTGGCATTCTGTTGCGCAGAAGAGGGGGAGGAAGAAGTAAAAGTTTTTACCCAGCCGTAACGTACACAGGACACGATGTACCTACCCAGATTCCAGCCTGTGGTCTTGCTTATCATATTCCTGTCCTTAGACTGTTTCCAGAGAGGAGAAGAACTCAGGAGAGAAGAGGGGAAAGGAGAGATGAAATCTAGGGAATTCTCCTTTGAGAGTATGCCCTGATGCACTGCTCTCCCAGCTGAAGAACTGTTGTTGTTGTTGTTTTTTTTTTTTTTGGGGGGGGGGGTTAAATTTCCATAGCATGTCCTACGTTTGTGTAGGTTATCTATTAATTCTTGTCTTGCTTGTTAAAACTGGAGAAGACGTGCTTTGACTTTATAACAGAAATGAGAAAACATGGTATGATTAAAATACATATTGTATTTTTAGCAACTTTTACAGATAAAATACAGTGGTAGCAAATAAGAACATTTTTGTATGACTGAATTTTTCATAGATCATGGTCTAGGAGCTTATGGGGTAGTGTATCCCTTCTCAAAATTGGAAGGGAAATCTGGGGATGAATACTAGCAGTTTTAAGGAAATCCATCAAACCACTGAGAAACTGAGTTTCTTTCGTGGCAACGTGGACTGCTGTGCTCCACTTTGCCCTAGCAGGGACAGTTTCTGGGATGTTCCCCATGCAGGAAACAACCACGCAGGATGAAGGCGTCCAAGTATTTCTTCCTCACCTTATCCGAGTCGTCTTATTTCTGATGTTCCGCCTGTAAGGCATGAGGAGCTGGAGAATATGACCAAATAGCACTTCCTAAAAGTAGGAGGGCAGAATGTAACAATAATTTTCATATTTTAAGAGAGCTATTAGCATATTTTGTTGTGAATTCTTGAATTTCAGGAAAAATCCCTGAAGAAGTAATAGTAGAACCACACTTCAACTCAGTCATCTTCTTCAAAGAACTAGTAACAAAAATATCAGAAATGGAAATAGAATCTGTGAAAGTACATTAAAATAGTGACCAAAGTAGTTACGGTTTTATTCATATTCGGTTCTTTAAATACATAATCCTGATGAGGCATGTTTATTTTGCTAACTGGCAATTCATCAATTAAAATTATATTCTGCTTTCAACTTCAGGTGAGCACTGTACTTTTCTGCATGTTCATTTTTGTTGTTTTTCTGTTATGGTGTTCTTGCAATACCTTTCTCCAAGGCTTGATGTGATGGCTTTGCTGGCTTGCAATGTGTCTCTGTAGCACTTAGTCAGTACAGTCAAACAAATAATTAAGGATAGGAACAGAGACTCTTGTTTCTTTAAAATGCGTTTGCCATTAGATTTAGCTTAAGGAAAGGGGTTTGTTTTTTTTTTTTTTTTTTTCTCCAGCTGAATGGGCTGAATACTTATACAGGAAGAGGTATCACCTTAATCAAAAGTGACTCTGACTTTTATTTTGGCTTGCCTAACCCTTAATCTTTCATTCAGAACGTTATTTCTTCATCTCATTGGTTTACAAGACGGCCCACGACTGCTTTTCAATGTTGTCTGTTCACGTCAGTGCTTGGTTCAACCAATAAATTTTTCTCACTTCTGGCTTCATCGAACATGTGTACTGTAACTGCTTTTCTGCTTATTGTTGCTGCTACCGCATCATCTATACAGTGTCCCCCCCCCCTCTCTTTTTTTTTTTTTAAAAAGCTTTAATAGCTTTATTCTGTTCGAAAACCTCCATGAATCTACACTAATTTACAGGGAAATGCAGATTGTACTTATTCCAAACCTTCGCTTATCATTCAGTTTTCTTTGCATTCCTTCATCGAGGAGTTGCAAACTGGCTGGACCAGGTTCAATGTGCAGTGGTCAACAACCTGAAGTCCAACTGGGAGCTGCCGTTGCACCGGAGGGCAGGGTGCCAGTTAGACCTTAACAATCTTGAGAAATGGGCTGAGGTAAACTTAATGAAGTCCAACAAAGGCAAAGTCTTGCCTGGGGCCAGAACAATCCTATGCATGAGTACAAGCAGGGGACCCGCTGGCTAGGTAGAAACTTTGCAGAAAAAGATCTGAGATCCTGCCCAGAGAAGGGAGGCTACGATGGCTGGGTGGGGTGGAGCTCATGAGGTACCAGGAGAGGGTGAGGGGACTGGGCTTTTTCAGTCTGGAAAAAAGGCAGCTGAGGAGACTCTCATGACAGTCTTGAACTGTCTGGAGGGAGGCTACGGAGAAGCTGGAGCCATGCTGGATTTACCAGTGTATACTTTCTTGGCTTTGCTTTGCTATACCTTGTCACATAGCTGGTGTTCTCTCCTGTATTACTTATTTGCATTCACCTTGGTTTCTAGTGAAAGAAGTAACATCCGCTTTTGACTGCTGCAAGTGTACAATAATAGTATCTGCCCACATGCAAATAAGTCAAGAGAATTCAGTTTTTTGTTGATCTATTTCAGGGGTGTCTTGTCACTCTCTCCCCTTTCTTTTTAATTTCAAATCCAAACTCTTTAATGGGTTAAAATTTAGCATAAATAATCCTTTATTGTCTTGGGCCCCTAGTGTAGCAACATCTGATATATATTACTTTTTACAGTGTCAGCGAGGACAGCAAAATGGAATTCTGTGCAGTTTTGTCTGTGTAGGTTAACATCCTGTGCAAATGGCAGTCTAGTGCTGCGCGAGGTACCTGATATAAAGTATAAGCTAGTCCCTCTTCATTTTCTCTGTCTTGACTATCCATGTCTATTACATTACTGTAGGAGATTACATGCTAAAGTAGTATGTACTTGCATGCTAAAATACAAATCCCTGTTTTTCTGTCAAAACCTTTTTATGTGAATGTGCATATCAGACTATGAAGATGAATCTCCAGTAAGAGTCCTACATGACCTGCATTGTGAAGTCAGGACTCTGAAGGTAATGTCTTAAGTTGCTTGCTTCCTTGAAAAATTGTTGTGGGGAGAGGGGTTCCATAAACTTATACTTTAAACATTACACTGCTATACGATTTTGGTAGTCAGCAGTTCTGACCCTCGTTTTTATTTGTTTACCTGTAAGTCCTCAATGGTTCTGAAAATACTGAGCAGTGCCCAAGAAAGTTCTGTGTGACTTAACAGTACACTTAGCTGCACTTGGTGGTTTGCAATCGGTGTTGTTACTGCTCGGGTAAGTAGGGGATGAAGGTAACAAGGAAGCTGTAGCTGTCCCAAGTCATAGGTTTAGGGGAGCAGGATTCAGGAGCAGCTGTTCCCTAGAGAAGAAGTATACCAGTGTTGGTTCAATGACTAGCATTTAGAATAAAGCAGATCTTCACAGAAGGTTCTATACCTTCTGCCAAACTTGCAAGGAATGCTCTCTAATTTTGTCATTAGTAGAAGCTGGAAAAATAGGTTAGAGGAATGGGTATGTGTATGGGTAACTGAGAGAGAATCTAGGGTGTAAATTTGAGGTTTGTCATCTCTCTCCACTGATTCCTTGTGCCCAAGTAGTGAAAATCTAAAATAATTGTTGTGTAAGTTACGTCTTTTTTTTCCGTAATGGAGTAAAAATATATATTTTTGAGAGGTTACTAACAAGTAGTTACAGTGTGAACTGCCATCTTAGTTTAATTTCTATAAACCTTTGTATGCTCATGCCTGCTGTATTCCTGATACTTTGTAACTTAGTTTTCAGGTATAGATAAGACCTAAGTTTTTCTCCCTGTCCTCGTATGAACTGAAGTTCAATAGCTGTTCTCAAAAAAACTTCATGCATGAAGAACTTCCTGATGGTGATTTGAAAACCTGTATCTCTGTGTCCCCCCACCTCAAAAGGGAGATGTTAATGCCAGTCTTGATAAGAGTTGCTCTGAAAGGCAAGAGATTCATGACTTCGTGAAGGCGAGTGAAATACTGATGCAAAGAAATGCAGCAGATCTTGGAAAAATAAGAGAGCTGTTCCAGAAATATGGCTATAAACCACCTGTCAAAGACTCCACAGGTAATGTTTCTTGACAATAGAGTAGCTGAAGGCAAACGTAGTTTCCTAAAATGGTTTTTCTTTAGCTAGGTATATTTTTGTATTAAGTAAGATATTAAGTACGTTGATTGCTTTATAATAACACCCCAGACCTGTTGTGCTAGGTACTGTAAGAATAAACCAAAATACAAAAACTGTAGAGGTAGATCTCCTGGCATGTTTTTAAATGCGTGTCGTCTTTGTCTTGAGTAATACATATGTTTAGAAAACATGTTAGCAAACATGTTTAAATAACTCTGAGAATTATCCTGTTTCAGCTTCTCATGTATGAGAGACTATGGTAGCTCTGTCTAAATTAGTTCATATGCATATGCAGTTACTCCACTGACTTAAACTACTCGAAGAGAAATTTTAAGTTAATGTGTTTTTGTATCACAACTGGGACAAGATAAGCACGTGTAGGGCTTAGGTGACACGTGGTAACCCATGAAGCTCTAGTAGCTTGATCATTGGGAGGAGGGGGAATCATTAATGCAGTTAAAAAGTGGAAACTCTCTGGTATCAAATGAGTCCAAAATAATATTACTGTCTGTGCTACAGATACCACTGTCTTAATTGAGGGCCCAGTCACTTTTTAAGATGCCTTTGTCAAGGCATGCATTAACCTTCACCTAAGTGTTATCCAGTAATGACACAAAGTAAAATTGTGGCCAGGGACCATATTCACCTGAGAGTTAAGCTGTTTAAAAGTATTTTACAAAGATACAGCTGTAAGCAGAGTGCCCTAATTGTATAGTACTTTCCTTTTCTCTGTCCACTTCTAGTGAAAACTCCAAATACTGCTACAGGGTTAATTTTTTCAAGATATATTTTTAAACTAAATGCATATGTTTCGATAATACCAACATACATAAGAAGGTACTACCTCTGTCCTTATTTAAAATAGCTTTTATTTTGCTTCTTGCATCGTGCAGGAATTCACAAATGTTTTGGGCTGTTTTAGTTTGCCAGCTACAACAATGTATGAATAACACATTTACTTATTTCTGTGCTGGGCTCTTCTGGTTATTTGAAAACAAATTGTTTTTCAGGTGCTTTTAGTTGCTACTTCTGAACTTCAGTATGTTTTTCAGAAGAATGATCATTCTAGTACTACGTCTAACCTTTGCTCTTTCTTCAAAACCACCATTTATATATATATTTGTATGTGTGTGTGCATATATATGTGCATATTATATGTATATAAAATTTGTTTCCAATGCCATTCATGTTGTACTTTTAAAATAAGTTTATACTCTTGCACTGAAATAAAAAATAATAATATTTATGTTGAAGATCAGCACTTACTGCCTAGTCCATTCAGAGAGGTGAATTCTATTAAAAATGGACTTGTATAAAATTTTGTTTCACTTCTTTCTAGAAATGATATTTAACAAAGATTAAAATTAATTTAGTGTGTAACGTATGCTATAAATATAGCTTAGTTGGATATGAGCTTTTGATATCAGTTCTAACTTCAGTTTCAACACTTCAAAATGAAAGAAGGAATCTATTTTATATCATAATCAAGTAATCAAAAATTTTGAGTATTGTATAGGGGAGGGACAGCTCACTATTTATAACATAATTTCTTAAAACTGAGACATCTGACTCTCTTTTCTTTCGTTCTTCTGTCAAACAGAGGCGGAGAAAGAGCAGGAGGAAATTAACAGTGAATCAAAAGCGTCTGTCCAGAATAAATCTGATCAAGAGAAAGTAGATGATGTGCCTCATCTTGCTGCTTGTACTGAGAATCCACTGGTCCCCAGAGACCTTCTGCGTAATCCCCAGCTTTCTGATTTTGGTCTTTCACAGTATGCTTTCTCCAGGTCTTGGAGTGCGACAAATGGGCAACACCCAACAAATGGACATCAAGAAAATTCAAAAAACAGGACTCCGCTAAAAACAGAGCCCCCCTCTGTTTTGCCCAAAACACCAAAATGTATGCTAAGGATGGATGACTATGAGTGTTTAACCCCCAAACTTGAACATTTTGGCATTAGTGAACATACCATGTGTATGAATGAAGATTATACAATGGCACTTATTCATAAAACTGCTCAGACAAGCAAAAAGTAAGTAAATTATTGAAGTTCAAATGACTTCTCTCCCAAATCTTCTGTAGTTTCTTTTTGCTGTACTAATTTCTTTTTTGCAGAAGGAGGAAAAAAAAGGTAATAGCAACATGCGGAGGGGGAGTGTTGTTTTGTTTTTTGTTATTACCTGTGAATCAGGTAGTCCTGTGCTTATATGCAACTCTCTGCATGTCTTTTCAGATCCTGTTTGCAGTGACGAATACTGCTATGATAGGTATCTTGGGTATACTCCTTCCCTTCGCTGTGCCAGTCTAAAAATCTCCTATACACAGCCTATGTAAACCGGAAAAATGCAAAGCGTATCTATCATGTTTTGCTTTCCCTGACATCAGATTTAAGGTGTTCAAAAGCTATGAGAACGTAGCACTGGAAGGAACTTCTGAAGCGTTCGGTTAAATGCATTATTGTAGAAACACATTGCATTCTCTCTCTTATATTATCCAACCCCACCTTACAAGTTCTTCTTCCAGTCTACTTTTGTTGAAAAGACTTGTTTCAGATTTTCACTGTTCTAATGAAAATTAGAGAAAGGTTGGACCATTGCAGCAGAAGGGGCTAGAACACCTTAAGAGCAGAAATATTTTCCCTATGTAAAGGTAAATAGATTGATGCTTTTCAATTTCCTGTTAGAAATACACTTAATTGTAACAGTTAACACTATTTAAGAGAAACCTACTGTTTTGCAGCTTAATACTTGGTTTTAGAGAAATTTAGCAGAAAACAAGAACCATATTAAAAATAATTTGTAGAAATAAACTTTCTACATTTTAAAAAAAAAAAAAAATCCCTGATACTTGCAGTGATGATACTGTGGTGTAAAGATCTTCAGAGCCATGGTAAGTTTGGTGGTTTCCACCCCCCAGGATCTAATTTGTCACGATGGATAATCTTTGAATCTCCCTTTTTTTTTTTTTCTTTTAGCTCATTGAAATTATTTTTTAAAAATGTAAAATGAAAATTAGATTTTCTTTTAAAACAATTCTGGGATTTCCGAATAGTTCCATAGTGTTTATAAAGCTTTATAGTTTTGAAATTGTAATAACAGGGAAACTAGATATTAACTAAATGAATCCTGAAAGATACTAATTCAGAACTGATCCATCTCAAAGAATATTCTGCAAATAATTTCAACTTATTGCACAATTGAAGTGAAAGACATGTAAAAAAGTTATGGATATCAAAAGATCTTTATCTCCTATTTAACAATAACTGCTTTAAATATGATGCACAGCTTTGACTGTGGTTGCAATATATACATGGATACATCACAAATTTAGATTCCATTTCTGTGGCTTCTAGTGAAATGGTTAGACTAGATAGGTTTATAAACCTTACAAAAAACATGCTGGCAGTCTTCCATACCCTTAATAATAAAGTTAAAATTCTGTAGAGAATTGAATATAATGTGACTGCTCCTTAACACATCACGATTGTTAATCACCAAAATAGGTGGACACACAAACAATAACTGGGAATAAAGCTACACACGGCTTCAGAATTAGGGGTGTGTGTATGTGAGTGGTGATGACAGGAAATCATTAGTATTAAAAGGTGTTTAACAAGGTTTTAGCTTATTTATTTGCTTTGTTTATTTTTGCAGCTTTCAGTTAGTGTTAGCTTACAGTTTGGTCTGAAACGTTGAAACGATTTAGCGGCATATTGCCTCCAAAAAAAGCACTCATCCACCCTCTTAGTGAGAGGGTGCAGTTTGTTAAAAGGCAGAACACTAAGCCAGCAAAAACTGAAGGTATATATATATATTTTTTTTTTCCACTGGGTAGTGAGTGGAGTCCGTTCCCAGAAGATGAGACGGGCACAAAAACAAGAACAAGTGAGGTAGTGTTAAACCTGCAGCTTCCAGGTACAGAGATGGAGAGTGACACACTGACTTTCTTGGAGACAGTCCTGGCCTTTCATGTCGCTTGCTTGTGCCAGCTGGGTCTCATACCTAGGTAAAATCTGCCAATCAGCTTCGTGCATTGCATGAAAAACACTTTGAAAATCATACCAAAGTCCTTAAAAATATTTAGCAGATCTCACCTCTGTCAGCTGCTTGGTTTAGGTCTTCAGTTTTGAAACAGGTGAAGAGACTGTTTTGTGTGCACCTCCTACAAAACTGAAACCAGAAGTAAATAGGAAAGAAAAAGGGAAAGTGTCAGCACAAAAGTACTTATCATAAGTCACCATAAGATGAGATTTTTCCACTGACTACCTTTGTCGATCTTCTCTTGTTGATTAGAATTTTGCCAGCAACAGGCAATTCAAAACAAAATGGCCTGTCCCCATAATACAGATTTGAGCGTCTGGGACAAAGAAAGTTGAGCCTGGCTTGAACTGCTTATTTATTTAATGCCTTGGATTAAATTCTCTTTGGATACTTGATAACATGGATGGTCTGCAACTTTTGCATGCTACAAATTGCAGCAGTAGAGTCGGAGACCATAAATTATTTGAGGAGAAGAATTTAGACTTGCATGTTGATTGACAAATACTAGCAAGGTGACCAAGCTGCCAATATTCCTTTAACTGTGATTTCTTCATACTACTTGGGAGTTAATTGTGGGGTTTGGCATTTCACTTCAGCTTACCTAAGAAAGATGATCCTGAAGTGAATGCAGCAGAAATGACATCCAGGGAAGTCATGGTTACACCTGGGGCAAAAACAAGAGAGACTGATGGGAATGGTAAGTCAAAATAAAAAATACGTAAACCATTTTTACATACTGCATTTGTTAACGCTTTTTAAACTGCATTTATTATATATTGTTAATTCAGTTATTATTTGCATCCTAAACGTCCAGAAAATTCATAGGTACAAAGCTGGTGGCTTCTGTAGGAAGTCTTTTCACTTCAGTATAAATCTGTCTGTTCTTCTACTACACATCCATCTAGAACTATGCAGAGGGATCATTCATTTTCTAACTGCAACTTTTCCTCATTTATAATAAAAACAGTATTATGCCAACTTAGTATTTTTTTCCAAGAATGATCATTAGATCTGTCTAAAGCTGAAAAACTAAAATAATAGGAAAGAAATTAAGTTAGTGTCTGGTTAGCCTTTTTTCAATTAGATCTTTCAAGAGAAGCCCTTTTTTCAATTAGATCTTTCAAGAGAAGCCCTGCAATTTTAGAGGGGCGATGTAATATATTCTCTTGAAAATAAATGATGATCTCAGAACAAACATGTTGACAACTATGTATATGAAAACTAAGGAAATACTGATTTTTAAGCTGGGTTTTTTCAGTTATGCGCAGTAGCGAGACTAGATTTTAGTTGTTGTTCTTGCTTGCTTTTGTTGCTTTTGGAGTAATTTGTATGTAATTTGGATGCTTCTTTATTAGCTAAAATGATACAGTTGTTATACTATAAGTAAATATGTCTATGGAAAGCTCATAGAAACTTCAGAAAACTGAACTGAGACCCTGGAGCTGTTAACAGTTTATATATCCAAGCACATGGCCATGTGTTTCTTCCCCACACACACTTTTTTTTTTCCCCCCCCCCCTTTTAACTTATTTCAGCAGCTGATTGTATGGCTTCTCCTCTGAAACCTGTGTTCTGTACACCGGGTGTGAAAATCCCTTCCAGAGCAGATAACATGGTATTATCAAAATCACCAGAGACAAATGAAATACTTCTTCCTGGTCATACAAGAACACCGCCACTTCCAGATTTTGAAACAAGATGGCTGAAAATAGAAACTAAGGTAGTAAATAACAACTGTATATTTTTACATGTTTTTAGCATAATTAGAGATTTTAAAATGCCAGATTGGGATTCTTTTCCCATACTACTTATGTCATTGAGGAGATCCTTCCAATGGCAATTTTGTAAGAATATTTATTGGATACCTTCAGTTAATTTACTTAAGTATTTATAACCTCTTATGTCGCATGTAAAGCAGGGGAAAAAGACTGAATCGGTGACAGAGAATGATGCGACAAATAAGCTATATGTAGAAGATAGCATTCCTTCTGCTGTAAGCTCTGATGAATACCTTAAACATTTTGAAGACCCTTCTCCTCCTAAAATAAAGGACTATGAGCATTTAATAAATACTCCTCCACCTCCAGAAATAACAAAAATACCAGATGATGTTCTACAGGTTAGTTAATTTTGTTTTGTTTTGTTTAACAACAGTCTTAATATCCATACTATTAAAAGGGTTTATTTCTATCAAACGTTGTTCTCCAAGAAGAGTTCTGTTTTTCGTTTTCAACTAAGCATCAACCATAATCCTGTTTTGAGTTGCTGTATAATTATTTTTATTCCCTCTTAATGTTTGCTGTAGATTCTATCAAAGTATAATCAAAAAATAGACTCTTCTAAAGCCAAGAAGATGGAGACCAAAGCAGGAAATGCTGCAAGATTTGAAAGTGATTTCACAGACTATTGCAACAAAGAGAACAGGTATAATTAAAATTTAAGAATGTGGCTAAATAATTGAGTTTGGAGGAGTCATAGAAGATGCTTTAATGCGTTTTAGAAATTCATCCAGCTGTTCATTCTTCAGCTACCAAAATAATTCTGGTGCGACTAAATAAATAATCTTTGGCTTACTATCTGACTGCCTCTGTTGTAAAGAACAAGTACTGTAATTGATTGTGTCTGAATCCTCCCACGTTAAAAAAAGAAATCAAATTAAGATAGAATTTTAGCGTTTTATCTGTAGGTGTATTTTGCTTTGAGGGAATCAAAGCCCCAGTGAATGCCTTAAGCCTTTTTCTGATTAAATTTGGGCAATAAAACTAAGGAATGCGGGAAAACTACATAAATGATGCAGCCAATTACACAGTCATTTTAACAAATACTAAGTTCTCTGAACTGCAGAACCAATACCTTATAAACAATATGTGAGACGAAATTAGCCTACAGTAGGTATGAATAATCTTTGAATAATAGGAAATAAGTCTTAAAAAAACTGCTACCGAATAGAAAGAAGTTTTGTGACAACTTGGTTAAGACACACTGACGTTCCTGATTCAACGTAACGTATTTGTGCTTGTAGACTATCCGTTAAACTTGGCTTTGGTTCAGATCATTTGGGTAGGAGGTACAAGGAAAGTATGTGCAGTTACATAGTAATCACAACAAACCAAAATGAGAAGATGGAAAGTAGATACCTTAATTTGCCTGGAGCTGGAATCCATTTGAATAATCAAATAGAGCAAAGCTCTTATTTAGCTGACCCTTTTTTCTCGTCAAAGAAGACACGAAAAACGAGTTTACAAAGCTTATTTTGTTAATTCAAAATATGATTGTGATGTTAAATTTATGAACTCTTCCAAATATATTTGCAGAGGATATCCTGGATTTATCAAGCCAAATGTTTGAAATCAAGCTGGAGACCATGCAGAGCCTGTTTCACATTATGGATTCTATCACTGAGTTGTAGCAAGCTCAAAAAGCAAAAGATGATATAGAAGATACTGTGAGGGAAAGGAAGAGGGAGGAGTAAAGACCCATGCAAAGGAAGGAGGTATTTTTATGGGGAGAGCTTGATGTGGATCAACTTGTTAAAACTAACAACTTTGTGCTTAAATTTTTCATTGAGATTACTTATATCTTGTATGTGTTGTTTTCAATATGTATATGCCTCAGAGAGGACTGGGGCTGTCTGCTGTATAGTACCTCTGTTGTTCAGTTCTCTTGTTTGTGTGTATGCTTGCATTTGCAGTAGGCTGTAGAGAAGCGTAGTTAGGTTACAATAAAGGAACAGTTCAGTATATTGCCTTAGAAAGTGAATCTCTCTGGATGTTCTGATGACACTGTATCTTTTCAGCACTGAGTTTGAAAATGTACTACTTCAGCAGTGTTTGATATCTTCAGCAGAAAAGTAAGTTGTTTTTTTTATGTGAAAAGTAACTACTGTTTTACTATTTAATGCACTTCTATGATATTTGTCACTTCTGCAGTGTTAAGGATTATCAAAGAGAGATTCTTTCATCAGGCTCTCTCTTACCCATCTGATTGTCAGGCATCAGAAATGCTTCTCTTGCAATTATGTTTTATTGCGTAGACATCATGTTAGGTACTGTACATCTGTGTCCCTTTGGACAGTCTAACCTCTATAGCCCTAAAGGATGACTCTGTCCTGAATATGAATTATTTGAAAATATTGTGTAGTTGGTACTGGTCATGTATCTGATGTGTCTCTGGCTGATAAAAAAGATTTGCCGGCGGGTAGATGATTGCTTTGCTCTCCCCTGTGCTGTTGCCACAGCTGGTGTCGTTTCCAATAATGCAAATACCTTCCTTCAGTAGCTGACCAAACTTAAGCTCTCAGACCTGTTTGGTGCTTTTTTGGTCTCTGGTAGTCATAGCAACTGGTGCTTTTTCCAAAAGAGACTTTATTCCTGTCAAGGATACATACTTAGGACTTCTTTTTGTTCAGAGCTGATTTGCCCTTACTAGTGCCAGCTGTCCATGATTCCTCTGAGTGACCCCCAGTACTGCTCTTAATTAGTTGTATGTGGTCTTCTGTTGACTGTTAAAATTTTATCGCTCACGTATGGGTATGCAACAGATGAGAATGGAGTAACTGACGGAGGAGATGGGGAGAAGCGCGTACTGTTCTGAGTTTTCCGAACACAGCTCCACGTTCTTTGAAGTCCTAAGGGTGTGAAAACATCTGGAGACACCTGGAGATATTTCCCCAGCTGCTTAGAGGGCTAAACCTAGCAAGTGTAGAGGCCAGTCACTTTCTGGGGTGGGTATAGGTCAAATTAACCGGAGAACCTGATTTTCTACTGGTTCTAACCTGAGCACACTGTCATTTTCCGGTGCCAGCTTCTGTTTAAAAATACGTATTATTGTATGCCACTTTCTGAGTCTGATCAATACTTTGAATGCTAAGTAAATTTCTTGTCTCAGAAGCTTTTTTTTTGCTTGGCAACTAATCGGATGCCCCTGTAATAAACTTACTTGTTCTACCCAACTTCATCAAATAGTGAAGGCTAGACCTACTTCCAACATCTTCATAGATGAACAACTAGTTGGCAGGCTGGGTGCTAGTCATTGAATTTCCCAGGCCCAAAAAGGTACAAGGTATTTTTGAGAGTGAGAATCCTCGAGCCAGGCAGACTTAACACTAAGCAGGAGGGTTCTCACAGCCTACATTCTCCCTACACAGCACTCCATGGCTGTTTAATGCTGCTATTTTTTTGTCTGAGGCAATTCAAACAGGCTGAAAGACTGTTTCACATCAACAGTAGCAAGCAGCCCTGCTGTCCAGGACTTACTAGATTATTTTCAACCTTTCAATTATCAGCTCTTTTGTGAATTCTGTTAAGTCTTTGCCTAAATTTGAGAACAACATCGCACTACGCTATCTTTCTCCCCATTTGGGGATTATGCTGTTATACCTAGCAGTGTTTGGGTTCTCACTATGAGCCACTTGAATCGTCTTTCTTTTTATTGCCCTTGAAACAATGATTTTTACTATTTTATAGCTGTATCATTGACTGGTATGAAAGAGTGATTCAGCTAATATTTTGAGATACAGATTTTCTCGAAGGTGGCAGCTGAAATCGTAATAGCTTGAGCAGGCCATAAGGTTTTATGATAATGATGTTGGCACAGGGTTTACAAGTAAGGTTTGACAAGTTCGTTTTGTTTTGTTTCTTGCCTACAAAATTACCCTAGTACAAGTAATATTACTGTATGTACTTATGCTTCTGATGTAAAGGGGAATATCTCACTGAAGTGGTTGTAGTCAGCAATAATACAGACTAGTTTTCCGGTAACTACAGCTTAAGCTGTAGTTTGAGTATCTGGGTAGGGAGCAGCAATTGGCAGAAGTGAAAACAGCAGCCTGGGAAACTGATCCTGATCTAAAATAACTCCAGGGAAAATAATTGTTTTTATTCAGATTAGTTCCCTCATACAAGTTGCTTTGTGTCCATACAGTGAACAACACAAATGGAGATACTGCAACGATCACTAATTTAACCAGGGGGCTGGATGAGGTTAAGACCCTTTTAAAGCCAGTATTGCTCCAGAAGAAATGCTTGTTCAGCTGCATACTAAAATAGTAGAACAGACAGGCCAGAGGTTCTATGATATAAAAGAAGTTGAAACAAAAGTTACATGTTGATATTCATTGTGGGATGAATCTGACAACAGTGGTAGCCTGTCAGGAAGTGCAGTTGGGATAAACAGCAGCTAAATAAGTAACAGCCACACTAGTTCTGCGAGGGACAGTAGTGGCCTGAAAATAGGCAGAGCTGAGTCAAGGTACAGCTGGGTGTTATGCTTAATCTAATCTAATTGTTAGAGGCTCTTTCACCGCTTCTCTTGCATGGAACTAACCCACTGTAAAACTGCATGACCTCTAAATTCTGTTTGAGCCACTGAAAGACTAGTATCTTGGTTTCTTTCCTGTTTGTCCTTTCCACGGAGATCAGTGATCTTAAACTCACATCTGATCGTGCAGGCAGAAGTTGAGGGAAGGGTGAGAATGGGACCACATCTTCCAGTGGTAGCCTGCAGTCAGAGCAGATTGACACACCTTGGCATGAAATCACACCTCAATATTTAGAAACCTCTGGGAGGCAACCAAAAGAGCGTGGCTTTTAATTTTCTTTCATTCACTACATCATTCTTCATCTCTTTGCATTGGCTGCATTACCTAAAATGTGTCAGCTAAGAGAAGCTTCTCTCTTTAACCACATTTATTATCAAAGAAATGTCTCAAATTGTTCTGCCCAGGAAGTCCCTTAAAGTAGTAAATGCTTTGCTATCTTGGAAATATTTTGCCTGAGGTTAAACACAAATACAGATCTCACAGTGAAATTAAACTTCCTAGGTGGCTGTCAAATGAACAAATGACAAGCATTGCTTTTAGGGCCTCCTGTTGTGCTTTTACTGATGTTTTTATAAATCACTGGAATAGTAACTAGAGTCCGGATTTGTTTGGTTATTCATGAATGCTTTGAATTTTCCATAAGATGTGAAATTTGCATTGTTCTCTGTTTTAGAAAAACCTTTTGTCATTATTCAGCCATTACAGTATTCGTGGTGGTTGCATGTGTCCCAGCAACATCTATAGTTGATGTTGGAGCTACCCTGTATTTTGGGAGCATCATTTACAGTCCTGTGCCTTGTTTCTCCATAGGATAGCAATACAGAGATTGTAGCATGTGTGAGGAACAGTGACAACAGCCAGCAGCCACACTATGGAATCTCATATACACTGTTCTGCAGAAATACACCTTCTACTAAGGTATCAGTTAAAACTGGCTATGTTATCTAACAACTTAACCATGAAACCTCATCCTACTCTTTTTATGGCAATATCCACTTTAACAAAGGGGTAGTTGAGATAAGGGTAGGGAGCTGCCCAGGCAATGAACTTGCTTAACTTTGTCTTGTCTAACTGAAGTACATAGGAACAAGTAAGCTGAAAGGTTTTAAAAAATATGTATGTATGTCTGTATGCATATATGCATACATGCATACGTGTGTGTGCGTGTGTATTTGCACACAGAAAAAATGTTCCATGAAAGAAGATGCTCTGCTACATGGGCCTCCCTCCAGGGAGAAGAATAAATGAAGGGGAGTTTTCAGATTCCTGAGTAACATGGCAGGAAGGTGATCGAATGCCTTCCTAATTGTTGGCACAATGAACTCCTGATTTAAGCTGTGCAGCTGTGTTCCCTAAGCGTTGCTTGTGCAGTTGTTGCAAACTATTAAAATGCCTTGCTGCATGGTCCCACCTTTCCTTGTCCTCCGTTACAGGATCCCACATCCTCAGCTGCATCAGTACAGTTGCTACTGGAAGACATTCCAGCTTATCCAACCACCAGTAACTAGTTGTTGTTTTGCAAGGTTAATTATTCATGGCATCTGTGAGCTGACCACCAAAAACACTGATGTGCTAATGCAAGAAAAGGGTTGGGGCAGGGGTGGAGGGTGAGCAAGGACCTCTTTTTTCACTGGGGGTAGAAGCTGCCCAGGGAGCAGTATCCTCACACCCTGGTACCAAGCCAGCTATCTGCATGGCTGCTCTGGTGAGGCTGCAGTTAGGCCATGGTTCCCTGGTCACTTGTGCTTAATGGCTTTCAGCTAGAAGATTTCAGTAGAAGAATAGATGGAAAAAGGTCAGCTACCGTTTTTCCTGTCTCTTGCTCAGCAATTGAGTGCTGGCAGGTCTTTTAAACCTTCCAAACATGCACTGGGAAGTCGAGGAAAGGAGTACTCAAGTGACTCCTATTCGAATGGCGCACCCTCAGCTGTGGAGAAAATGCAAGTAGAATAATCACTGCAGGTGTAACCTATAGATAGAGGATAACAGCAGGATGGGACTTGAGAGCAAACAGTTTTTGGCAAAAAATAGCATACACAGCATGGTTGTCCGGGGTAGGTGCAGATTTCAGGCCTCTGTGAAAGACCCCCAAATCCCTTGAAGCCTGAAGACATTAAGTCATTTGTTTATACATGCTTAAAGCTGGGAATGCTGTACTCATGCCCTTAGCCAAAACTAAGTAGAGGCCCTAAAAGTACCCTCGAAGCTGTTACTTGCAATGTTGACTGGGTTTTTTTTGTTTTTTGTTTTTCTCCTTGCTGAGCTATGAAGAGGTCAAGTGAGTTTTCAGGCCAGCATGTCTCTATTTAAGCCTATCATTTCTGTGAGACGGGAAATACTCCCAAGACAGAGAGCTTCCCGAACATCCAGGCTGCTCTGAACCCAAACCTGAGCTATTTCTTATATCCAGCGCTGTTCCCTGGCACTCTGGCCAGGCATCTGCGTATTCCATTGACAAGTATTTGTGGCCAGACGCAGCTTGAGCCTTGTAGCTGCTGTGCAAGACAGGGTAATTTACAGTCTGCGTACTTCAATGTCATCTTCTGTCAGAGCAACTGCTGCTTTTTTTTTAACCCAGCTGATCTGCTGTAATGTCTAGACACAAGGGCGGAGACAAGAGCAGTAGTTAATTGAATCTCCTTGTTTTTGGCAGCTTGTGTCTTAGCTGTCGCATTACTTTAAAGTAGTATTTGGTGGAGTAGTACCATAGCTATTGTTATTGATCTGACATATTAGGGTTTCCGAGATCTTAAACTGAAATCATTTTTCTATGCTTTCTAAAGCAAGAGTTTAAGATCTCGGAAACCCTCATGTAGGATCATGCTGCCATTGTGTGGCAGGAAATGTGTGCTGTTCTGATGCTGTATCCTGTTCCTTCTTTGGCATGCTGGCGCACATGTGTGTGCGCACACGCTCCCACCGTTGCACAGTAACACAGTACCCAGTGCAGCCCACCTCACAGTTCAAGACCATCTTCATCTGGAGGCTGCGGATTCAGTCCAGGTTGCTTTTAGCCGTGGCAGCTTTTGAGGTTGCCACGCATAACTTTCTGCCCCACAGTAGGGAACAGTTGTAGCATATCTGCAGCCATTGCACTTCACGGTCGCATCTGCAGAGCAGCCCAGATTACCTGCTACTAAAGCTAGGAATGGGAAATTAAGGGAGCAGTTTCCTCAGCTTTGTAGCTGGATCCATGTGCTCTGTGGCTCATTGTGCCAGCGTGGAGCAAGTCTCCCAGCCACAGCTGGTGCAGGATTGCCTAGTGCGTCGTATCCCCCAGCAGAGGGGAAGAGGATGGGCCTCCTCTGCCTTGCATGGCGTGGATGAGTGTGCAAAGGGGATAGACCTTTCTCACTGCTGAAAGGCAGAAGAAAAACTGAGCCCCTCTGAAGTGGCAGAGATGAAGGACTAGGGCTGAGAGGAGGTCAGGAGGGTTGTTCGCAGGGGGGAGGCATTTGCGGTATCCCTGGAAGGGCTTAGGCAGGAGGTGAGATAGCCCAGCTGGTTTTGGGTGCTTATATCTGCATGTGGTAGAAAAGAAATGAAAAGAACAGGACACCTTTTTTGAGAAATATTGTCCGAATCCTTAAAGTTATGCAGTTAGATTTAAAAAAAAAAAAAAAAAGAGCTTTGCTGCGGGCTCGTTTTTGAAAAAATTCTCAGCCTCACAGCTGTACTTTCATCTGTTACTCCTTTAAGCATTGAAAAAGATAAGGGAAAACCATACCTCATTCCACTGCCTTGATGAGGGACAAAAATTCCCCATGAAAGCTCTGAATAAAAGAAAGGCCTGTTAGCTGATGGCTCTGGTATGGTGTTTTCTGCACCACTTTGCACCGCTCTCAGGCAGCTGCCGCGATGCCTGCTCAGAGCTGCCCCGTAGGGTCCCCGGCAGGCAGGCTTCCCAAACCGAAGGCCTAGAAACCAGTTGGGAATCAGGAAGGGAAATATGAAGAGTATATTATGTGATTCTGCAACTTGGTATCATTTCTTTTAAGTCTCACCTCTGCCTGCCTTGGCTCCCAGGAGAAAGTTTTCCTTGCAGGCACGCTGCCTTTGCCAGGGCTGCACGAGGCCCAGTGATGCCATTTACTCTTTGGCTTTTTTTCCGCCTGGAAATGGCCCTATTCCCTAACTGCAACTGAGACACAACCCAGAGGGGCAGACTAAAGCCCTCTGGGCCCCGTGCAAGAAGCATGCAGGATTTGGATGGACAGATGGAAAATGAGGAAGAGGGAGCCTCTCCCTGTAATCACTAGAAGGGTCAGCCCTGGAGTAGGGGCAGGGCTGCGATCCCATCCCTGCTGTCAGGACTGCGGGTGCGTTGCAGTGTGCCACAGTGTCAGATAAAGTTAAAGCCATTGTCTCAGGTTCCCGAATGGGATGATCTGTGCATTGAGCCTGTTTCATCCTCTTCCCCACACCCTCCCCAGTTTTGTCATTTTTCAACAAACATTTTGATGTATATTAGTAAAGGCTGTGGTGCTCAGTAGAGAAATTGCTGATAAATTACACTTTAAACTGCTTTCTCCAGCTTAGATGTTTTAACTCCTGGGGGATAAGACACCACTCTTGCACAAGATTGACGTAGACTTTCTCGAAAAGTTGCGTTTCCCCTTCAACGAGGCATTGCAGGGCTCGGCAATCCACCCTCCTCTGCAGGCTGCAGCCTGTGGCACTCCCCGAGTGTACGGCATTGCTCACCGTTGCTTAGTTTAGAAACTGTGTTTTAACTAACTAACTTCCCCACACCAGATAGCGTTGTAAATATATCATCCTTCTTCAGCTTTTCTAGTAGTTTTGAAGGACACGCATGAGCTCATTTTCATGAGTGAATTCTCTGACAACTTTCACTCCCAGTTCCAGCTCTTAAAACATCCAGATGGTTGTATCCCGACACTGTCTAATCTCAAAACTGCTGGTTGTATCCTGATGTCTGATTTCATAACTGCTGTTGTTGGTCTTGATTGTGCAGTGGATTTGGGATTTAGGGGAACACACACCAGCACTGACTTCTCAAGTGTCTTCACTTAAAAAAAAAAAAAAAAAAGAGAGAGAAAAAAAAATTGAACTCTCTTCCCTTCTACATTACATTTGTGTGTGAAGTACAAGTGTTCAAGGGCGAATGTCTTTTTAGACAGATGTTTAGCCACAGACACCTGGGGAAGAGGTCAGCTGAGGTTCATACTTCTGTGGCAGTCACGTGATGGAGACCTCCACACCTAAGCATTCGTGCTGAATGCTTTGCTACTGAAGGCAGTTTTGCTTTTTCAGTTTGCAGTCATTTTGCTTCTTAGACTGCCAGAAATAAAGCCAATAGGTTGTTCCTATTTTCCTTTGAAGCGTGTGAAGACCTGTTCTGGGCTGTCCCCATGGGAATCTTTGACCCCTCACTGTGCCCTGGGTCCCGTGCCAGAAGCAAAGCTAAACTACCTTCAGAACAGCTCCGTGAGTCACAGGCATAGGCTCACTTGCTGCTGTTGTTTTATACATTGACTACCTTTAATTACTGAGAATTACACTTAAAGTCACAGCAAAAGCCAGGACAAAAAAATGAGGACATGCCAAGATTCCTGTGTACCTCTAATTGCAGGTCTCTCTCTGTATTTGGTAGGAGGCTGGTAAATGATGTGATTACATACTAGTTACCACAAGACTCACCTCATTTGTTTTGCAGCACAGAGGATGCCACATGGTAAGCAGGCCCCTTCAGTGTGGTCTTTCTTACCTTTCTGTTTACCCAATCCCATAATGCACCAAGAGCCAGAGTGCTGCTCTGCGAGCTGCTGCCCAGCACGCAGGCTGGGTTGTGCCTGCTGCAGTGGTCCCCAGTCTGCCCAAACCTGCCAGTGGTGCCAGAAATCACTGGGCCTGCTACAACACCTGGGCTTCTTGTAGCAGCAGTATCCCAGAGCACCTCTCCTTTGCACCAGTACTGCTTGCGTTCACCCTGGCAAAACATCCCATCCCTGGCCATGCTAGAGTAGCTCCATTGGCACTTCCAGCCCTTCCTGTCCTTCCTTACATAGCAGCAGGGATATTGTCATTCCTTTATTGCTCTTTAAAAAAGGGTGAGGACTACTGTTCAACCTCTTCTGTCTTAAGGGAAAAAATGATTGTAGGCTGCAGGTGAGAGTCTTCAATGAAGGCTGAAATGGCAACTCCTTAGTTTGGAAGCTAGTGGTGGGGCTCCCCGAGGAGCAGAACATTGCTGTGTATGTACATCGTCAACTCCTGGTCTTGCCTTTCTCTCAGCACGTGCTATCACAATGTGCAGAAAACAAGCACCTGGCTCTTTCCTTGCCAGCGGGATGCTCAGGGCTCATCTGCAGAGGAATGCAGGGCTGGTATAGCTGGCACATGCTAAAAAACTTGAGACGCCTCGATGTCCCAAGCTCTCCCTCTGCAGCGGCAGGCAAAACAGGCAGGCTCTGGGAAACTACAGGCCTCCTCAGCCTTCCATTCCAAACCCTAATTTGCTGGGAGGCAGCTCATCCCTTGCCTCTCTTCTTCCTTTAAAACGTGCTAACAGCAGCTGCTCTCCCTGAGTGCAGAGCCCAGCTCACAGACCAGAGCTCCAGTTCCCCAAGGACAAGAGAGAGCCCCTAGTGGCACCTTTTGCTCCCATTTGAGCTTCTGGAAGCAGTTTGCTACACATCCACCACCAACCTCCAGCTTCATCAGTAACTTATAACAGATTTTTTTAGGCCATGCTTGAACTGTTAGTTGGCTTGGCTTTGCTCTGACACCCAAGGATTGCCATAATCTGAGGAACTGGTGCTTCATACAAGCTGCAAGTATAGGCTGGTCAAGTATTCCCTCCCATACTATTTTAATATTCTGGACCTGTTCCTCATGCCATTTAAGTCAACCTTCAGCTGAGAACACTGAATTTCTTCTGGACACATCTCTACAGATAGCCCATCTTCTTAAAAAATAGGAGACTTGGAAAGATAGTTTTTTACCTTCCATTTTTGAATTCTTTTTAAAGGAGTTGGGTGTATTTGAGTAAGGCAAGCGTGCTGAATCAGTCATTTCTCTGAGAAGATCCGCAGCTCTTCAGTATCCTGGGACATAGGGTGCCACAAAGACCACTTCAGAACATCATGTATTGGCATCATCCTTGTACAAGATGGACCAGCTGCCCGTTGCCCTGGAAAGTTGCAGTGTCCTGCCCTCACCCTCACTCTCCTGCTGGAGGACAGCCAGCTTTACACCACTCTACCTTCTACATCAACACATCCACGTCAGCAGGGAGAGCAACACCCAGCTGGCCTACCTACAGCCATACTCTTCACAGGCTCATCCTCCCAAATCTGGCCATCAGTGGTTTAAAGAATCTTCCTGGGAAAGGAATCCCTATTAGGCCACCTGCCCCTATACAACAAGCCCAAAAAGTTACCACACAAAGGCTTCGGGCCCTACTTTTATAGATGGAAGTCTGCTTTTAAGCAGAAGTTGCAGAATTTCTCTGCAGAAATCCAGTTTAAAACAAACCAAAAAAAAAAAAAACCATAACGCCATCCGAGTCAAAAGATAACATCAATCTTTATTCCAAACAAGACAGAACTACAGAACACCTTTAATATTTCTGGTCATATTTTACAGAAATTTTGAAACACTGGACACACCAACTTACTTTTTAAACTATAACAATCAGGAAAAGAATGATGATGCTTCTAAAAATTTTTCCTTCAAAAGAAAAAAAATCAGTAAAAATTAAGGTTTAAAAGTTAACTCATTTCTGATGCTTAACTTTGTTTTCAGGTGTTCTTGCTTAGCAACAAAAGCAAAAAGTAAGCCTGCTTTAGAACAGCAAGTAGGAATAAACTGAAAATATAGTCATACAAAGAAGCAACAGCTTAGTATGGTCTCATGCGGCTTGATGGGGGTGGTGCACGATTCGGAGGAGTAATTGCTATATCCAAGTAGTCTCCTATCTGGAATTTCTGAGACTGCAATGTCATGGAATCATCTGTGCCCTTCCTGCCTGACATCGTGCTGCCAATCTCCTTCACCCTGCACAGAGGGGACAAAATGCAAGTTAGTTAGCAGAGGCAAATCTTTCTAGGTGTCCAACAGAGGAACAGTATCAGTCATCACAACCTTCCTATCTCATCCTCCACGTTGTTTTTTGCACTTAGCTATGTTCACAGCATGGTAACTTTTTCCCATACTGGGTTAAAAAGAGCTGCATTAAGCTTTCTCTCTGATAGGGCAGCAGTGTGGGGCTGGAAGGGGAACCTACCACTGTATTAAGGGTACTAACCAGAGAGATGTGGGGGGAACCCCACCCAAAACAAAACCCACCACCACCAAAACAAGACCCCTACAGATTATGGGGCAGCATATAGCCACTGGTTATTGGGGAAGGTTCGTTAATACAATTTAGATGGTGACCTGGCACAAAAAAAAAAAACCAAACAAACAAACATGGATGACAGACACAAGTCCCTTGCTGTTCCAACATGGTCATTTCAGGCAGCCTCTCTAAAGCCCAGCAGGAGCCAAGGTCCCAGTGATCAAACTGTCCCCTAGCCACTAAAGGGCAATCAGTCAGGGCTCTCAGGATGCCTGTAATAAAGTCATATACATTCTTAGATACAAGACCTATCAGACCTAGAAGACTGAGGGGCAATCTGATCAACATGTACAAGTATCTGAAGGGGGGGTGTCAAGAGGATGAGGCCAGCCTCTTCTCCGTGGTGCCCAGCAACAGGACAAGAGGCAATGGGCAGAAACTGAACCACAGGAAGTTCCATCTGAACCTGAGAAAAAACTTCTTCACTGTGAGGGTGACAGAGCACTGG